CAGACTGAAAACCACAATCACAGAAAACTAACCAATCTGATCACATGGACCACAGCCTTGTCTAACTCAGTGAAACTATGAACAATGCTATGTAGGGCCACCTAAGATGGACAGGTCATGGTAGAGAGTTCTGACAAAACATGGTCCACTGGAGAAGGGAATGGCAAACTGCTTCAGTATTCTTGCCTTGAGAACCCCATGAACATTATGGGAAGAAGACTCAGGCTTTAAAACAATTATAAAAATCAAGTGACAGAGAAAATAGCAAGTAAGGCTGTGTAATGCAGGCTCAGTGCTGTGATTTGTAACTGAGAAGCAGCGAGGCTGGGCCTTTTGGAGGGAATGGCACTCAGGCTGGTGCTCACTGGAAGGCCAATGTAGTGAGAATGGAATCCTGCCACATGTTGATGCAGGATACCTGGACGGGATCTTAGCCTCTGCATGGAGGGAAGTCGAGAGCCGTGCAGCAGGAGAGGCACATGGTGAGTGTGGAGTGCAGTAAAGATCAGCCACACGGTGCATGGGGATAGCTTGGGGTCTTGAGAAGCTAGAGTCAGGGAGGCAGCCATATGCTTTGTCAGGGAGGCCAGGCTGTGCTGAAGGCCTTGACCACACCTGTGGTCCTGCAGCACAAGCATTTTGCCTGAGGTTAGGATTCTGGTCTTTTGAGTAGAGATTTTCTAATTACTTTTCAAACAATAGCAGCATTTTCCTGCCTCTTAGAACAATGCAGTGAGCCCAATGCCATCTATCTAAAATGCTGAGAGTTTGTGGCCTAGAAAACCCTACTTTCTTTCAGAGGCATTTAGAGTCCAACTGTTAAAGGATTTACCTGTTCTGTATCATCCCATGCATTGCAGGACATCAAATCCAGGTCCACTATGACTACAGATTTTCTTTATTTCTATCACCTGAAGATTTCCCTCTTTTGCTATCAAAATTAGCTTTAAATTTTTCCTAACTTTTCAAATATTTCAAGTAGTGTGTCTATGTGTTTGATGTGAGGTGAGGGAGGACTTTTGTATCTTCTTAGTCTAGTATTTTGACCAAAAATTCTTAATCTATGTTTTTAAAAATCTTGGGTATGATCACTCTAATTCAGAGAATTACTACTTGAATAAACATGTTTGACAGGGTGACATTAATAACGTTAAACTTTTGTGTAATAATTTAGAACAGTTAGAACCCCTTCTTACCAAATCCATCTTTCAAAGATTTTTGAATGGTAGTTTTAATGATGCATCACTTAATGACAGTGTAAAGCATTCTTGTTCATGTTAAAATATGGCTTTGTTATCTTTTGGGGGTGATTGAAAATGAATTTAAATGAATTTTCAGTTCTCTTATTGATAGAATAAGAGACACAAATGGAAAAGGAATTCATTGAGTAGCTCTCTTATTTTGACTGCTAATGAACTATTGGTAATTGCAAGAACAAAATTAATTCTCCTATGCATAGGTCCTTTTGATTTTGGAATATCAATAAAACCATATGATGTGTGATGCCTCAATATTTCTGTAATTTCTATTCAAATTACTTTGAAAATTCAATTTGTACACTATGCTTCAACATTATATGGCCTTCCTTTGGTACATGTGTACAACTATTTACACAGATGCAAACATAGGCAGTGAATTTGCATTACTTGGTATTTAATTATAACATCAGTGTTTGGATAATTCACAGTACGTTTACATTAACTTCCATAATTAAAATTAAGCCACAGAATTCTAAGTTTCATTAAAGGCTACATTTTGAGAAATGTTGTTTTGGGCTGAAGAATATACTTTCCAACCAAGAGTAGGAGAGTAAGCCTACTAAGAACTTTGTCTTTATAGTGTGAATGAAGGCAAATCATATGGGGACATTTTAAATTCTCAGATTTGTTCCTGCACCACTTGGCTCTCTTGGTATCATATTCTCCTTAATTAGTTAGCATGCCATTTAGACTGAGCCTCTGTCTTAGGGAGAAATAAATCTGGTAAGATTAGGATTTTTTAAAAATTTGGAGAGTTTCAATGAGGATGACATAGTAGCTCATCCTAAATTCAATTCCCTTTCTCTCTTATTTATATACACAGTAATACTAAATGAAATATTGAAGAAATAACCAAAAAGTTTGTCTCAAATACTACATACAATTCACTGTATACATATGAAAGAGAACAGTCATAGAAGGTGGTGAGTTAGGGTAAAATTTGGGCTTTCCAGTCTCCAGGACAGATGTAGGCAGCAGTATCTGGAAGTTTAACAGAGACAAAACACATGGTGGTAAGTGGAGCCTGGAGCCTGGGATGTGCTCCTGCTTACTAACGGAGGCTGAAGAATCTCTGGCTGACAGCTTGTGTTCTGACTTTAGAGGCAGCTTTGGGTTTAGGGAGGCCGGGAAAGAATGACGGGTGCCTCAGGATAAGAAACTGGTTCAGACAACTTGCTGGCTCAAGAACTGGATCCACTGATATTGTTACCTAATTACTTGGAGCAGACGTCCCAAAATACCGTTTTAAAACTTGAATATCAGATTAGCTCAGGATGGTGGAGTAGAAGTACATGCACTCACCCCTTCTTATGAGAAGACTGGAATCACAAACAACTGCTGAACAGTCATGGACAAAGAAATACTGGAATCTACTAAAAAAGTACCCTACATCCAAGGACAGAGGGGAAGCCATGGTGAGATGGTGGGAGGGAGATGATCATGATAGAATCAATTTCCATAGCAAGATGAAATCAATTTAATAAAAATGAATAGAACTATAAGATATAAAGAGTTTAAAGAAAGGGATATTGAAAGTAGAAACTATGAAAAAGACTAAAATAAAGTGATAGAAAGTATATTAACCAAAATAAAGTGGCATGAGAATATTTATATTTTAAGAAAACAGACCTTAAATGAAAAACAATTGAGTGAAATTGTATTGTATATAATATTTAAAGGAACAACCTGACAAGAAAATATAGCTATCATGAATTTGTAAGTACCTACCAACATAACTCAAATATGTATGTAACTCAAAAACGAATAGAATTAGAGGCTGACTTTCAGTATAGTGTGGTATGAGGCATTTAGGGAAAGCTCTCTCCCAGACAAACATCTTTTAAGCAGGTCAAAATTAGCAAAGGCAATCATTTAAAGTCTCCTGGAGGTTGACTGAAGGGCTCACAGCAAATCTGGAAGTATTTATTCAGCAAAACATACAGAAATTCAATAAGAACAATGAGGGGCCATGACATTCAAACTACAACTGCACGGTTCTCCAGCAGCTCTTGCCTCACAGAAGAACTATTTCAGCTGGCTCAGCAGCCAAGTAGAAGTTCCCATCTCCCACAGCTCCCTAGGGTGAAAGCGCTATTCTGGGTGGTTTTGGCAGCCAACGAACACTGGCAGTTCCCACTTTGCACAGCTATGTCCTGCAGCAGATCTATACTGAGTGACTGGAGGCAGTCAGCCATGCCTGTTCCTCCACTGAAACTCCAAGCAGTAGGTGATACAGGCAGAGAAGCTGGTGAGGAAAGCAGCTTCACTTTCCTGCTGATCTGTGTTGAAGGAAGCTGCTCTGATAGGCTCAGCAGGTCAGTGGCCAGCTCCTACCTCTCCCAGCTTTCTAGAGCGAAAGACCTCGGCTGGGTATTTGTGCCCACTGTGAACAGCAGCCAATCCTATCCTTCTTGGGTCTGGGCTGCAGAGGGTGCATCACTGCATGGTGGTGGCAGCCAGTGGTGACACCAGTTCCCCCCAGTTACACACTCACACAGCTCCTACCCCAGAGGGAAACCCTAGGGCAGCCAGCGCAGAGAGACTTCCTCATGTGCTCCAGCTTGTGCTCCTTAGCACCTCCTGGAAAGGGTGAAGAGGTTACTCACTCACTTGTGTCTGACTCTTTGCGACTGATGGACTGTAGTCCACCAGGCTCCTCAGTTTGTGGAATTTTCCAGGCAAGAATGCTGGAGTGGTAGTCATTCCCTTCTCTAGGGGATCTTCCCAACCTCCCAGCACCTCCCAGCACCTCCCATGGGAAAGTCAAAGTAAGACTTAGAAGCTGGCAATACCCTGCTCTTGCAAAGGGCCCCAAATTCAGTAGGATCAGACTGTGGAGCAATTTAAGCACACTGATCAGGGAAAGAGGATGAAAGACAGCCTATCTAAAGCCACAGATGTTCCCAGTGGTCAGGAAGATTATGTAGTCAAATCTGTGTCCTCTGAGGAGAGGTATCAAAATCCTACACACTTAGTAGGAAATAGGCCTCCCTGAACTGGGCTAGTCAACAGACGACAAGCAACAGTAAATAACCGCACAGCAAACAGCAACAAACCTCAGAAAAAGGATCATCATTCGGAACTACTCCAATACATTATCTTAATTGTGCAGTTTTAGAAAAAACAAAGAAACATGCAAAGAAATAGAAAAGTATTGACCCATATGCAAGAAAAGTAAGAAGGCAATATAATAATAGAAATTTCTTTAGAGGGGGGCTGCAGATGTTGGGCTTGGCAGATGAATACTTAAATAGCTGTTATAAATATGACCTAAAGAAAACTGTATTTTTAAATAGAAAGGATGGTATGGTGACAATATCTAATCAATAGGAAACATCAATAAAGATTAAAAAGAACAAGATAGAAGTTCTGGTATTGAAAATTATAATAATGAAAATTAAGAATTCTCTAAAGGAGCTTAACAGTTGACATGAACCAGCAATAAACTTGAAGATGGGTAATAGAGATTATGTAGTCTGAAGAACAGAGAAAAACAGACAATCAGAAAAATGTGGGACACTATTAAACATATAGACATGTCTAATAATGGGAATACCAGAAGGAGAGGTGGGTGGGATAGGATCAGAAAAGTATTTTTTAAGAAATGTTTGAAAACTACTAAGGGGCTTAAGAGTAAAATTGAGGAGACAGATCAATGAACTGGTTCTCTCATTATATTTATGTTGGTTAGCTAATTGATGTCCCATGTTTCTCTGAGGCTGTGTTCCAATTTTCCTACAGTGTGGAAATTCCTTCAGAAAATTCCTACTCTGGATGCAACTACAGATTATCATACTAAGTGAAGTAAGCCAAAAAGAGAAAGACAAATACCATATGATATCACTTATATGTGACATGATGCAAATGAGCCTTTCTATGGAACAGAATCAGAATCATGGACATAGAGAACAGACTGGTGGCTGCCAAGAGGTAGGAGGTTGGGGGAGAGATGGAATGGGATGTTGGGATTAGTAGATATAAGTTTTTATATGTAGAATGGATAAACAACAAGGTCCTACTACTGTACAGCACAGAAAACTATATTCAATATCCTATGATAAACCATAATGCAAATGAATATTTTAAAAAGAATGTATATATATAGATGCATGACTGAGTCACTTTGCTATAAAGCAGTAGTTAATACAATATTATAAATCAATTATACTTCAATAAAAAAAGTCCTGTGCTGTATGTTCTAATCTCCTGAGTTAAAATGTCACTTGTCTTTACTGAGAAGATACAATCAATTGGAGAAATCAGTTTTATGCCATCAAAATTATTACATATTTTATCAAAGAAGCTAGCTATCTTGTGGTTGTTCACTTTTATGTTTGAAACACACATACACAAACTCACCTATGCAGATATTCATACAGGTGAGTCACACAATTCTTTGTGGGTTTCTAATTTTATTGTTGTTCTTTTGCCAGTCTGAGTTCATTCTAACTTTAATCATCTTCAACATTAACTTTTAAAATTTTAACCAAAATTCTCTACTAATACTTTGTTACATGCTAATAAATTTATTGTTGGCATATTTTAAAAATTCTTGAAATAAACAAAATTAAAGTTATCTGTTCTGTCTCTAGGAGAATTTGACTATGGTAGACTCGTTATGCTTGTCCTAATGTCCATCTAAGTGTCTTCCTTTCCATTAACTAGGCTTACCAGTAATTATACAAATAGTGTGTATATTCACTGTGACTGCAAATGGATTTGAATGTTCTGAAGAAATTTTCTAATCTTCTAAATAAGGCCTAGCACGGAGTTTCTTGACTTTGATGACCTTTCTATGGGATTGAAATTGTTAGCTCCATGGGTTGAAGAGACAAGGAAGAGAACGGTTCAGAACTTAGGATTGGACTCCCCAGGGCACAGGACCCATTCAGGTTCAAAGAAGCAAAGGTGACTCTTGTTTTCATAAACATGTTTGCCTTTATAAAGTATGATGCTGCATTTTCAAATTCACACTATTTAATTAGCATGTAGTACTATGTAAAGATGTCCAGAGACTTTTTCTTCTTCCTCCTTCCTCCTACTTTTCTCTTCCCTTCCCTCCTCTTCTTACTTCTCTTTTTTCCTATTACTTTTCTACCTATTTTCTAGATTCTCATGATCTTTTACCCTTTCCTTTTCCTTTTATTCTTTTTGTCATTCTCTTTTTTTGGCTAACTGGTTTCAAAGCATTTCTTTGTGACTAAAATTACCTGGGAGAGGTTGTCTGTATTTATACAAAGCGGTATTAAATTCATGAATCTCATTTCTACTTTTGACTTTACTTCCTCAGCATTCTTCACTGTGCCACCAAAGAATGGTGACCTTGAATGACATATAGATAAGGAAATTCATTTTCTTTTGCCAAGAGCTATGCTTCCATTGACCTATAGAGACATATAGTTCAATTCCGATTATAGTAATTCTGAACATTGCAAGACACAGACATTATGCAATGAAGCGTAATTACATATTAAAAACACTTGAGAGAGTGTACCTAGTCCATAAAGTTGGCGATGGTCCTATTTCTCTCATTGGGATTTTAAACTCTCCCTAGGATATGACACTTTGGAACTATAGCCTTCATAAAACAGGTGAAGCCATGGAGGCCACAACAGTTCACCAACTGACCCATGGTCATAACACCCAAGAGAGAAGAACCATAGTAACTGTTCACACTCATTCAGACTTAACCAAATCTTCCTCACTGGACCTTGAGTGAGATAACATTAAGTGCTGTCTCCTTTTATTGGAGAATTTGATATTTCATTCTCCAGATGTTATTGTCTAGGATTTGAGGAGCTAGTTCTCATAAACAGCCTCATGAAAGAAACAATATTGGGTTTGAAGAAAGAGTATGATGTGTACTATTATCTAAAGACTTGTGTTTTAGAACTGACTTATCGATGCCCACTGGGTCCCTGGAACATATGCATCTCCTACTATCTGAAGGGTAGCTTGAACCCTGAGTCTGTTTTCTGTGGCTGTCTTATGGAAAGCAACAGTGTGAAATTATTAAAAGACTATGCCAAGTCAAAGGAGAAAAGGAAAGAATGCTCTATAAAGGTTGACAAGGAGGACTACTTGGAGCTTATTAGGAATTAGGAATGCTACTTGTTTAAAAGCTTTTATAATTTCTAGTGTGAATTTTCATGACTGATGTGATAAAGTGGAGGGGAACAATTTTTTTAAAAAGGCAAAAAAATCTTAGTTGATTCCATTGGTTTCTTAGCTTGTAAATAGTTACCCTCAAACTGGTTAAAATGATCACGACAGGAGCCTCCGAGAGTTGAACAGGGAGAAAAGATATCTTCATTTAGAAAAGTGGAAGGCATTTGGTGAGCAATGGTAGGAGCACAAAGATCATCTGACACGACAAGATTTATAATTATGGGAACATGAAGGCTCAGGGATCATTCTGAGGTTTGACAAAAGCTCAATAATAAAACTAGGCCTTGCTAGAGTTCATGTTGAAGGGACTGAGTGGAGAGGGGAGAGGTAGAGAGAGAAAAGTAAGGAGATATATTGATCAATTGATTGATAACTAGACAGAATGACAGAGAGAGAGTGAGGGAGGAAGGGAGAAAGAGAGAGAGACAATAGAATCACTACAGACCATCATGGAGATGCAGTATTAATGCTTTACTTCCATTTAGAGGTGTGGAAGTACCACATGTCAGCCAGCAGAAACTTGGGAGAGGATGGGACCAGTTGATTTTGTAAAGCAGAGCTATGGAAAGAGGAGGGACTCATATTGGCAGTAACTTCTTTAGAGTAAAGAAAACTACAGAAACATTCATCTACCCCTGATGGGTGATTATATGCAATATAATTGATACCTTTAAATATATATATATATATACACACACAAAGATAATCTGGGGCCAGAAATGTAAGCTTGTGAAGTCACTCAGTCGTGTCCGACTCTTCGTGACCCCACAGACTGTGGCCCACCAAGCTCCTCCGTCCATGGGATTCTCCAGGCAAGAATACTGGAGTGGGTTGCCATTTCCTTCTCCAGGGGATCTTCCCAACCCAGGGATTGAACCCAGGTCTCCCGCATTGCAGGCAGACGCTTTACCCTCTGAGTCATCAGGGAAGCTTACGCTCATGTCAAATGCCTGTTACTTTGTGTGACACCTCGTGTCTCATATGGATCCTGTTTTTTTGCTTTGAAGCCTGTCTTTGAACCTGTTGCCTCAGTAGAAACATGAGAGTATGAGCTATCTCAATGAATCTTTTTTTTCTCTCACTCCTTTTAACATCAGCAGGACAAGTACAGAGGTGACAGATGAACTATATACCTCTTTTCTACTGTTCTTAACAATTCTAGATGAAACTTAGAAATAAGAGGCCAGCTACCTGTTTTTCTTTCTGAGTCCTATAGTCTGGCTTCCATAGTCAGTACTGATCCTGTTCTTTTCTTCTAAGTTAGAAAGTTGGGAAAATTTATCAAACCCAGATGCAAGCCGTAGAGGAGATAGGAGACTGAATCGAGGGAGAGAGGACTCCTTTTCCAGCTGAACCTTAGTTATCATTAGCACAACTAAAGCAGAGAGATATGAGAAGAAAGTGGGCTTACTCTGAACTCTGTCTTCTTAGAGAGCCGTTCTGTCCCCTGCAAAGAATCCGCCTCCCAGGGCAGCATATGCCAGAGACTCGGGTTCGATCCTTGCGTCGGGAAGATCCCCTGGAGTAGGAAATGGCAACCCGCTCCAGTATTCCTGCCTGGAGAATCCCATGGAGAGAGGAGACTTGCAGGCTACAGTCCATAGGGTTGCAAAGTGGCTGACACTACTGAGTGAGCATGCAGACACACACAGTATAAACACAATGTATATATACACACAGTATGTTATATGAACTTTATTAAAATGAAATAAGTGATGTGCCCACAAGTGCAGTCAAGGGGTAGCTTATCCCTCAGTTCAAAAGTTGATACATGTCATATTTAAGGTGACTATCTCTTACATGTTGTAGACTCCCCTACCCTGTCACCAAACATATTCACAGAGCTACAGTTAAATATGGGTCTTTCAAAAAAAACCTTAGAGATCAGCTTGTTTGGCCCCTTTCGAGGAAACTAAGGCATAAAAAGGTTGGTGGATGTTGCCAGGTAGGGGCCAGTTAGCTGTGGGAAGAACCAGGTCTAGAATCTAAGTCATTCAATTCTCAGCCTGGCCTTCTCCTGATGCTCTGCCATTTCAAGTCATTTGTTATAAGAACTCTTTAAAACAAACAAACAAAAACTCTTAACTTCTCTCCAACTTTAGGTCCTCACAGCCTATCAAATCCATTTTAAGTATCTTAAAAATGGGAGTTTTAGGAAGTCTACATATTTCTTTTGGTGCTGTGGGTTTTACTTGTTTCTTTGGTTTGCTGTTGTTTGTTTTCATCTTCCCTCATGGTGAGGTTTTATTACTGCAGAATGAAGCATTTTATAAACTCAGATTTAGATTTCTAGAAAAGATTAATTAAACTCAGATCTAGACTAATATAAAACAGTGGCTCAGGGCTTGGTGCTAGAATTCCGTAGCTCTGGTTTAAATCCAAATTACACCCCTTTGCTAATTGTGTGACATTGGGCAAATTCCTTAACCTCTTGAAGCCTCAGTTTCCTCATCCCTCCAAATCCTGGTATTAATAACACTTTATCATAATGCTATTGTGATGATTAAATGAGGTAAAGAATATGTAACGCATTAGCATAGCGGCAGGCTCACAGCAAGTACTCAATTATATGTCGGCTTTGTGTGTGTGTGTGTGTGTATGCTTATATGTGTGTTTATCTGCCAGGAACCACTTTTAGCTTTATTTCTGTGATGTGGGATTAGGACTGATTATGACAGATACCACTTTGCTCTTCAAGGCATAATTATAAACGTGTATAAAAAATAAGACACTTTGTAAGCAAACATAATAGTTTAACATGTCATTTTGGAGATGCTATTCCAGCATTTTGAAAAGAATGTTGTGGAGAA